TTGGGCTGCCTGGCGGCATTGCGGGACCGCAGCTCCTTGAAGGTGGTCACCTCTCTCTGTCTGGAGCCGGGAGGTCTGGCTGGCCCATCCTGCTGGGGCTGGGGCTGGGGCGGGGGCTGGGGCTGGGGTCGGGCTGGCTCCTGGCCCGCGGTGCCGGACAGGAGCTCGCTGGTGGGGGGCAGCTCGGTGTCAGGCGAGAACACGATCAGCCAGTCGCTGCGGTCAACCCTGGCCTGGGCCGGCGTGGGCACGGCCACGTTCCTCTTCCTCCGCTGGGCCAGCTCGTGGAAGGAGGTGATGGTCTTGGTGCCCGTGTCGGSTTTGGGCTCTGCCGGCCGCTGCTCCGCTCGGTGCGCGTTGAGGATCTGCAGCCGCCGCCGGGGACGYGGGGGCACGGGCGGGGGGAGGCTGCCCGGCCGGGGCCGCGGCTCCGGAGCTCCGCTCGGGATCCCGGGGTCCCGCCGTTCCGGTACCGGCGGTGCWGCCGGCGCGGCATCGCGCTCGGGGAKGGGGTTGCARTTGGGGTCTAGGTCAGCGCGGGTGYCCTGCGCTGCTGGGCCGGGAGAGAGCTCGTCGCACTGGGAGTCGAGCGAGTTGTTGCTGCAGAGGCTGTCCGGGCTCTTGCTGGCTGCGGTGGAGGCTCTCCGGAGCACCGGCGAGTTGTGGTTGGCATCTCTCCCGTCACACGTCCTGTCCTGGGCAGCCACAGCCTCGCCATCCCGGGCGTTTTCTGCGGGAATGACGTCGAGCTGCTTGTCAGGAGATTGGGACTCTTCCCTGGCCAACTCCTTGCAGTACACGGAGACCGGGGAGTCATCCAAGCTGAAATCCGAGCAGCTGCTGACAGAGGAGGAGGAGGAGGAGGAGGAGGAAGAAGAAGCCAGATCACAAGGGGGATCACAAGGGGAAGCTGCCTCCTCCTCGTCTCCGCTGTGCAGGCAGGGGAATTCCTCTTGCACCGCCTGATTCTGGAGCCTCAGCGTCTCCGGCTCCGGGGCATGCGACTCGCAGCAGCGGCATTTCACCGAAGGGCTGTTGGAATTGGCATCCAGCGGCTCACGGTTCTCGGGGCACTGCGTGCAGCCCGTCTGCTCTCCCCCAACYGTGGAGCCATCGGTGTCCTGGAGCTCGGGGTGCCGCGACAAGTGCAGCCCCAGGGAGATGTGCTGCAGGTGGATGTGGTTGAGGTTGCACAGGAGGCCTTTCTTTGGAGCCAGCATGGTGCTGCCTCGCTGCCGGGGCGCCCGGGAAAGCCCAGCAGCTCCTCTCTTCACACCATCCAGCTCCCTGCAAGCACCAAACACCCTCCTGGTCAGGGGAGAAGAGCGGCGCAAACCCCGAAAGAGAGGCATGGACAGAAGAACGGGGATGGCAGTGACCTTGTGGCAGGGCCTGGCACTGGGGTTTGGGGGTCACGGATAATGATGTGCCCCAAAAAAGGGGCTGCCCGAGAGAGGGGCTGCCCCACAGCTTCCTGCCTGACTCGGGGCTCTGCAGCCGGGCAGGGACTGCAGCCAGCCCCAGGTCCCTGGAGCACAGCCTGGGAATGATCCCAGCAAGATCGGCGGCTCCAGGGCTGGATTCCCTCCAGAGGGTCGGGAGCATCTCGGGGATGCCGTCAAGGAGAAAACGCCCTTGGAGCCTCGCCGAGGAGAGGGCGGGTGTCCCGGCCGGGGGCGGTGGCATCGCGGGCGCTCGGGGACCGGGACTTGGCCGGAAGACCCCGGCCCGGGAAGCGCTGCAGAACCGCCGCCGCACCACCGGGCCCGGCCTAACCGGAGGAAAACCCCGGCCCCGGCCCCGAGCACCTGCTGGAGGCGCCGGGCAGGGAACGGGCAGCGGAGACAGCGAGAGGGCGGCTCCGTGCATGGATAACACCGAGCATCCGCAAGATCCGAGCATCCCCCGGCTCTGGAGCATCCTCCCGGCCCCGATCATTTCCCGATTCCGAGCATCCCCCTGGCCCTGAGCATCCCCCGATTCCGAGCATCCTCCCGGCCCTGAGCATCACCCGGATTTGAGCATCCCCCCGGCCCCGAGCATCCCCTGATTCCGATCATCCCCCGATTCTGAGCATCCCCCATTTCCGAGCATCCACCGATTCCGAATATCCTTCGATTCCGAGCATCCCCCGGCTCCGAGCAYCCTCCCGGCCCTGAGCATCCCCCCGGCTCGATTCCGAGCATCCTTCCGATTCCGAGAATCCCCCCGGCTCTGGAGCATCCGCAAGCTTCGAGCATCCCCCGGCCCCGAGCATCCCCCGGTTCCGAGCATCCTCCCGGCCCTGAGCATCCCCCGGCCCCGG